ATACTCTAAAAAGGCTGGTTACAAAACCTAAGCCAGTCTGTTGCAGCCTTCAGAATGACTCTGGCATACAAAAGACAAAGAATATATCGGGGAATTTTCTCTCTTAACCTGGTTCCAATTGAGGAATACTGTCATTTATAGGTGAAATAAAATAAACCAGCTGGGCACAGTGGTTTGGGAGGCTGAGGCAGGAGGATCACGAATTCAGGGAGGAGTGCAGTGCTTGAGGGAGCCCCCTTTTGGGGTTTCACACTCTTAAAGGAAACTTTGTGAACAGTATATGGTATCAGTCTGGTGGGCTCCTCTCAATCAAGGCGAATAGGGTACTTCTGTCAGGATCTCTGGGTTGATATTATCTAGTCAATAGACAATGTTTGGAATGCACCCTTATCATAGGTCTCTGGCAATATTTTTCCCCTGGTTTTTAACTTTTTGGGGTACTTTGGATTGGACGGAGGGACCCTTTCCCACTGAGCTGCATCCCTAACCGTTTTTGAGACAGGTTCTCGCTATGTTTCTGAGGCTAGTGTTGAACTTGTGTTCCTCCTTCCTCAGATTCCTGAGTGATTGGGATTACAGGTATGTGCCACTATGCTTGGCATCCTTGGTTTTATTTAATCTATAGAAAATACTGTGTGTAAGCTAGCAAACTATGTGGGTATTCATTAACTGGACTCATACTCCAAGATTCAAGGGCTTTTTTTGGCGGGGGAGGGAAGGGTACTGGGGATGGAACTCAGTGGCACTCAGCCCCTGAGCTACATTCCCACCCCTATTTTGTATTTTGTTTAGATACAGTGTCTCACTGAGTTGCTTAGTGCCTCGCCATTGCTGAGGCTGGCTTTGAACTCGCAATTCTCCTGTCTCAGCCTCCCAATCATGAGCTTTTTAAGAATCTGTCTGGAGGAAAAGAGGCCTGGGGAGTAAGGTGAGCATGTTCATGGAGCATCCTAAATTTATAGCCAGCTGTCTTTGCCTTTCCTGTACATGCCTTTTTACTTATCCTTATTTCTTCTATCCTACCTTAGAAGTAGACAGATCCTGGTATCTTTCTAGCTGTGTGATTCTGCACAAACCAATTTATCTATTCAAATTGTCTGATTCCTTATTTAAAATTAGGGATAGAAATGTATCTACAAAGGTTGCAGCCAGAATCGAAGAACATGATAGGATCTTGAGTTCAAAGCCAGCCTCAGCAATGGCTAGGCACTAAGCAACTCAGTGAGACCTGTCTCTAAATAAAATACAAAATAGGGCTGGGGATGTGGCCCAGTGGTTGAATGCCCCTGAGTTCAATCCCTGGTACCAAAAAGAAACAAGGAAAAAAACAGACTGTTATTTGGAAACACGATAAATGACAAACATTAAGCACATTAAGAACACAGCTTATAAAATTTTCAAGTAAGGATATTCAGAAGAATCCTTTGAGTCTCTGAGTTTTTTTTTTTTTTTTTTTTTTTTTTTTTATTTATTTTTCAGTTCTTGGAGGACACAACATCTTTGTTTGTATGTGGTGCTGAGGATCGAACCCGGGCCGCACGCATGCCAGGCGAGCGCGCTACCGCTTGAGCCACATCCCCAGCCCGAGTCTCTGAGTTTTAAAGCTAAAAAGAACCATGGATTTTTGTAGGTAAATAAGCCAAGGTCATAGAGAAGTTTAACAACCTTACCTTGTTCAGAAAGCAAGACAAATGCAGGCTCAGATTTGAGTTCAAGTTTGGGCACTGCCACCACCTACCTGTGCGTCCTTGAGCAAGCTATTTACCTTCTCTGTACCTCATTGGCTCATCTGCAAAATTCTATTCTTTCAGGCCTTAGTCTTGTGATTCCCAGCCCACCTCCTACACTGGTGACTTACAAGTGTATTCTATACTGAATTGATAATTGTTAAATACAATGTTTTAAATTATACTAATTTGTTTGATATGCTCACAATTAACATGGTAACCCCTTGTATACAAAAGAAAGCCAACAACTATAAAAGTAGAGTTGGGCCAGCTGGCAGCAGAGGCAGGGGCAGCATATGAGAAACCCACAATAGCTAAATAACTCTTTGAACTCAAATTTCATTCCAAAATAAAGACACTTTCAGAAATAGATCTGGTTCCCAATTTCATCAGTAAAGTGGAATCAGGATGCTCTCACTTGTATAGAGTGGGAATCAGTCCATTTGCCAAGTCCAGGCCTCTCTGACAAGCTAATTAAAAGATTCCAGAAGTGTCATGGACCTAGAAAGGAAGTCCTTGTGACGGATTGAATACATAAAGGCTTGGAAAACTTTCCAACCTTGGAAGTGACTGGTAGGTAGAACGCCTTTTGCCTGAGAATCTCTTTTCCAGTTAGGGCCTGGCTGGGGCCGACTCTTGAGAGCTCAGCGCCACCTAGTGGTTCTTAGGCAAATAACGGCTGGGTAGGGAGGGTCTCCAGTAATGTACTCCCTAAGGACTTATTTCATGTTATTTGCATGTTCATTCGTAGGTGTGTATCTACACATGCACTTCAATGAACATTCTATTTTAGGCTTACTGAAAAGTTACAAAGATAGAGTACCCCTGTGTACTCACCTACATTGCCTGTTGTTAACATCTTATTAACATGGTTCATTTCTCACCTCCAAGCGCTGTTGCACTACTAGTTATTAAACTCCCGATTGTATTTGGATTTCACCTTTCCACTTGTGTCCTTTATCTGGTCCAAGATCCTCTCTAGGAAGCCACCTGACATATACTTACCATACTTACCATATTTGTCTGCTCTGGTTTGGGACAATTTCTTAAAAAAAAAAAAAAGATCCTGGCAGTACTGGTCAGATATTTTGTAGAACATGGAGTAGCACAGTGGTGAAATACCTTTGTCATTACATCATATCAGGGACACATGACATCACTGATGATAAATCAGGATCACCTGGCCAAGGTAGTATTTGCCAGATTTCTCTACTGATTGATTTTCTTCTTTATTCCTTAGAAGCAAGTAACAAAGTTGAGCCCACATTTAAGGTGGGAAAAGGAATGAAACCCACCTTCTAAAGCAGAAAATGACCACATAAGTTGTTTGAAATTCTTCTGGAAGGAAGGTTTGTCTGTTCTCCCACACTTTCCTATTCAATCTTTATTTACATCAGCATAAATGCATGGATATTTGTTAGGGGTCACAACTCAATACTATGTAATTTATTCTGTAACTCAAATTGCAGCTGTCACTACTAGTAGCTTTTTCAGGCTGCTCCTGTGGCCTTTGACCTGCCATCTTCCTTTTGTTTCTCGGAGCATTTCCTTTGCATATTTTTCACTGAAAGAAAAGGAAATTACACAGTATTTTAATGTGTCTTTGAAACATAGTTAAAAGAATATACACTCTTTTTTATTATTTTGTGATTTTTATAAATGAAACTTCCATTACCATATTTTAAGTGCTGGGGAGTATAGTCCAGGGGTAGAATGTTTGCTTAGCATAGCCTTGGATTTGATCCTCAGCACTGCAAAGAAGAAAAAACTTTTTTTTTTTTAGTTATGTAGTATTTACCAGATACATGGCAGAATACCTTAAAAACAGCTGTTTGGAATCAGACTATGTGTCCTTGCTCCTACACTGAATCTTCCTAAACCTCAAGCTTCTCATCTGTAATCTAGGGGAATTAATAGTATTTTTTTTCTTTTTAATTTTTTATTGTTGGTTGTTCAAAAATATTTTTTTTCTTTTATGTGACTGTGTGTGTGTGTGTGTGTGTGTGTGTGTGTGTGTGTGCGCGTGTTGCTGGGGATTGAACCTAGGTCCTTGTGCATGCGAGGTAAGCACTCTACCAACTGAACTGTAGCCCAGCCCTAAAAATGTTTTTGACGGGCTTCTGTGAGGACTTCAAAGGGCAACATAGAATAAAGATCAAGGACCCTGGAAATAGTCTGGCCCTGCCACTTCTTAGTTGTGAAGCCCTGGGCAAATTACTCAATTCTCTGTGCCTTAGGTTCCTCTATAAAATGGAGGTGGCAGAGAGGACTTGGCTTGTTGTAGGACCAAATGTGTTCAATGGTGCTGTTTGGCCAATGGCAGGTGCTCAGCTTCAGCTATTATAACTGACCCCAAAAAAACCTCCAGGGCAAGGGTTATAATCTAAAATTAATATTATAATCTTGTGTCCTTAGCTCCGTGGCACACGTATGGTAAAGCATTTACTAACCCTGTGTAAACACAGCTAATATCATTACCACTACTGAGGTGGCAAATGTGTGACAGAGCGTGGCACACTCAAACCACTATACAAATATAAACAAAAGCAGAACTACACCTTCAAATTATCCAGAGTTCAAATACCACCTAGAATTCAGCATTCTACAGAAAGGAACTTATGGGAACTTGGATTGTGATTGAGTAATGTACTCCTCTTCAATGCATATAAGAGGTACATGTGTCAAGTGTGGCCAACAACACCTGCCCTACTTTCTTTGTGTGGCTGTGGTAGACACCCTTAGGATTGCTTCTTTCTTGGCAGTGGAAAGAATTTGGGTCCTGTAGTAAGACAGAACAGAAGTCTGGCCCAGTCACAGACTAGTTGTTTCAACTCAGGCAAACTTTTCTTCCTCCCTGTGTTCATTTTCACAGTCCAAAACTGAGTTTCCCTATGTTGCAGGATTTGTACATGTGATGTGTGGTCCTTGGGATCAAAGGTAGGGCCTCATACATACCAGGCCAGCACTCTACCACTTAGCTCTAGCCCCAGGTCCATACTGCAGGAGTTTTAAAAGGATTACATGAGAAAATACATGGAAAAGCTTTTAGTCCAGTCTGCCAGGAAAAGGTATGCTGTTTCTTTCCTTTCTCCCTCCAAATTCAATACACTGAAGTCTCTGGATCTATACTTGTCCTATGTGTGCAGTCTTGTTTCATTCCATTGTTTTATGGCTTTAGAAGATTACTCTGGGAATCTCACTTAGAAAAAGATGTCCTACCCCCTGGGCACCAACAGGAAAGAGTTCAAAGAATTAGGTTTGCATAACTAAGTCTGTGGTTTTCAAATTCATACTTTATGAACAGTTGGTTCACATGAGATCTCTTTTAGAACCTTAATGCAAAGAAAAAAGATTAAAGACATTTTATCAGCATTCCTTTATATTTTCACACCTATACTTTTATAACACTCATGAAAACAATATTCAGAACAATTGATGCTTTGATGACACATATCAGAAATCTGGCATTAAAGATGGCTGTTGCAGACTTATCAACCTCAGCATTCAGCTCTGCCTTTTGATTGCACAGAATCAATGATTTGTGATTTGCACAGAAAATAACTTAATATCTTAACCATAGCTCTTTGTTAAAAGGAGCTCAACCAATGCTCCTCTTTTATCATGCAGGGCAATATACACACCTAAAAACTACTGAGGGCACACATGTGACATGCTACACTTGCACCTGCTACCAAACAAGCAGAACTCTCAGTGAGATCTGGTTTGCATATGCCGCCTCTCAGCACTGTACACAAGATAGACCTTTTGTACAATTTACATGACAATAAAAATCACAGGGGTGACACATTTAAGAGATATTAAATAGGCATGGAAATGACAAACGGTTTACACTGAGAACAGAATGAGTTACTACTTGACAGCCAAGGTGGGGATTGGTTAGTGTCTATCACTGGAGTACGTGGACTCATCTACCTCCATGCTCTGCTTATTGCCAGACATTCCTCTGCTCTCCTGGGATTCAGGTGAAATGCCCTTCTAACCCCCTCTGGAGAAAGGCTGCCTCCTCCTCAGCTGCCTCCTTATCCTTTATCAGTGCCAGTAACTGCAGTAAGCCTGGAGCTGGACCATCCTCTGGCAGATCAAGCTGTCTGCGAACTGTTCTGTGAATCGCCCCAGCGATGATTTGCTCTAGGCGGGCCTGATTCACATCACCCTTCTCTATTGCTCCTCTCTGTACCAGTTTCTGTAATAAAGGCTCTAGCCTTAGTACATAAGCAGACAACTTTTCTTTATCCTTCTGGTAAGTGTTTAGATATTTGACCTGCAATTCCCTAGGATTATCAGTAACCCCAAATACTGTTTCAAGAGCCTGAAGGCATTCATGGGCTTTAATTAAAGGATTATTTATCTTGAGGATACGAATAATATCAAATGCTGGGCCACGAAGGCTCTCTATCAATCGCCTTCTTTTTTCTGTATCAGACACCTGCCATGTCTTCATCATCTGAGTAGTATGAAACAGCCATGATCCAAATTCTTCTTCCCCTGGTTCTGGAGGATCCCTGCCTGAGAACAGTCTCAATTTTTTATAATTTAGGTATTGGAGGGCAGGCTGAAGAGCCTCATCTAATGCCTGTGTCAACATAGCTGCCTGCATTTCAGGGATCATACCCTGGTCAAAAGGGTTATGTCCACACCCAAGAACTCTGGTCAACTCACCCACTGTCATGCCCTCTTCTTCTAAAAACTCATTTAATTTCCTTAAAAATTCATTATCCGGTTCTGGCGGCTTAAAGATCACTCTCCACACACCCCCTCTCCCTGGTATCTCCTTAGGAACCATATCATGACTTGTCTCCTCAGTAAGGCCTATTAAGGCTACGTTCCTGTTCTCATCCCTTCTGAACATCCTCCCAAGCAGTCTGTACTCCCCCAAAGGAGCCAGACCAGCCCGTAGAGCCTCCTCGATTTCGGCCACACCACAGGTCTGGGGGATGCCGGTAATCAATAGCGCTTTCCGAGGGTTCATATCCATCCCCCTGCACCAGTCTTCTAAAAGCCTCAGGGCCATCGTGCCCGAAATCACAGATTTAAGTTCTAATTCTTCCGAAGCGCGTGTGCCCACCGCAATTCTCAGTAATCCTGCGCAGTACCCCACGCAGGTCTGGTCAACGTGCCGAGGTCCAGCAGCCTGCGGGGATAGGAGCCAGATCAGTTAGGGGTGTCTGCGTCTGGGGCGCAAGTGCAGGTCCCCGTGAGCCCGCCGCCGCGCTCTGCTGCAAGCAGCCCCTCCCCTCTCCCGCCCCTCTGGGTCAGTGAAGCGGCTCGCCATCCCACCTGCCCTCACCGTTATCTACTGCGATGCCAGCGCCGTCTGCAGGGGGCGGGACGCTAGGCCCGCTCCCGACCGGGAGCAGGAGTGCGGGCGTGCTCGGTTCTGACTGACGCTCGGGAGGCGCGCCGGCCGCCGGCAGTGGATGCCGAACCGCCCGGCCTCTGCCCTTCTCTTCGCAGCGAGGAGTGACGAGGCGCGACGAGGCGCGACGAGGCGCGACGAGGCGCTCAGTTGTGACCTAGGCACCGTGGAGGAGGCGCGGAGCACGCGAGGCGCCAGACCAGACCCTCGCCCTCCTGCGCCGCGGTATCAGCCCTGGCCCAGCTGCGGCTGTCTAGGGCGCACTCTGGAGGTTGTGCGGCGCGCGGAGGCGCACTGACATCACGAAGGCGGGCCTGAGGAGGCGGGGCGCGCGCGCTTCCGGCCCAAGCCGGAAGCCCCAACTGCGGCGGCATCCGGGACGGCGGGCGGGAGGGCCACCCGGGACAGGAAGGTGAGAGCCGGGACCTGCTCAGCTTTGCAGGCTGTCTCGGACGGCGGCCGCCGCTGGGCGCCGGACTTGCGGCGCTGCAGGTTGGCGAGGCACGGCCTGGCGCTGCCTGTGCAGCCCGGGAGCGGCGGGCGGGCGAGAGCTGCAGGGGGCGGGGCCGACGCCAGGGAGGCCCCAGTGGCCCGGGAGCCTCCCGGCCGGCCGGGTGACCAGCCCTGCTCTGCCCGAGGCGGCAGGGGCCGGGCCGCCGCGTGACTACCCGTAGTCACGCTGTACTTAATCACTGTTAGCTTGTGCTCCAGGCTGGCGGCGCTCACCTTTCTCCCCGAACCGGGTGACCCAGGGGATTTCTTTTATGGTGGCTTGTTCTGAAATGCCAAAACCACCCGATTATTCAGAACTGAGTGACTCTTTAACGCTTGCCGTGGGAACAGGAAGATTTTCGGGACCACTGTAAGTGTTTAAGAGTTACTGTCGTAACTTGGGGGCTCCGATGTTGGCATAATCTGTAGAACCCAATCTTCAGATTTGAAGCAATACTGTTAAGCCAGAAAGCATTTCAACTGTAAAAGTGAAATGTCCCGTAGGAAATTGGCTTACTTACAGTTTCTGAAGTGAAGGTGTACAGGACCTATTTAAGCAGATGTAATTATTTATTATGTAGAATTCACATAAAAAGCATGGTTTTTACTTGCTCGTAACTACTACATAGAACAGCCACCTGTAGGTTATGTACATTTCTTATAAAATTTATTTTGAACATTAGTGGGGTATTTTAGAGCTCTTGGAAATAAAGCAAATACGTTTGGAATAGTTGCCATAGAAGCATTACTAGACCCTAACTGTATTTTTTCATTTTTTACTTCGAAGGCACAGAGCATGGAGAATGATGAACTTCCGTCAGCGGATGGGGTGGATCGGAGTGGGACTGTATCTGTTAGCAAGTGCAGCAGCATTTTACTATGTTTTTGAAATCAATGAGACTTACAACAGGCTGGCTTTGGAGCACATTCAACAGCACCCAGAGGAGCCTGGTGAAGGAACCACATGGACACACTCCTTGAAAGTTCGCTTACTCTCCCTGCCTTTTTGGTTGTGGACAATTATTTTTCTGATACCTTACTTACAGATGTTTTTGTTCCTTTATTCTTGTACAAGAGCTGATCCCAAAACTGTGGGCTACTGTATCATCCCCATATGCTTGGCGGTTATTTGCAATCGCCACCAAGCATTTGTCAAGGCTTCTAATCAGATCAGCAGACTACAACTGATTGACACATAAAATCAGTCATTGGTTTTTCTTTATGATTATGAAACTGCCAGTACATTATGGAGTCTGATCACAAGAGTGCGATTTCTTCACAGATCTCAGGAAGTTGTGGTGCGACAGAGGCTTTTTAAAAATGTGACTAAGGGACGATCTTTATCTGAATAATAATGATTTCTTTTAGGTAAAGCCTGAGATATAGTACTACAGAATCATGTTGATGACTTCAGGTTTTGCAAGTAAAATTGTGTCTTGTTATTTGTATTCATTAGAAACTTGAATAAGTACCTGAACTCATTTCTCTTCTACTGTGCAGCATAGTGACAATTGAGAAAATTTTCCTTTGGGGAAAAAAGTGAATATGAACATTTCCATTGTGTTAAGTGTAAAAAGGTCCAAATATGATCATAAAATTTAAATTTTATACAATTACATGGCTTGCTTTAAGATTCTTAAAACACACACTAATTCATCCTTCTGTAGATAAGCTCATGCTTGCTAGCTTTCAGTTTGAGGAAGTGGTATAAAACTATTGAAATAACTATGGTTTATTATTAATTTTGGAGTTAGGGATTGAACCCAGGGTCTGGTACTTGCAAGTACATATGCTGCTACTGGCCTATATCCCCAGCTATGATGCCTGTCTTGATAAGCAGAATTTGTTCTGGATAATGGCTAGCTAAATCATTTAAAAATTTTGTTTTAGTTGTAGATGGACACGATATCTTTGTTTCTTTATTTTTATGTGGTGCTGAGGATCAAGCCCAGTGCCTCATACATGCGAGGTAAGCACTCTACTGCAGCTACAACCCCAGCCTCGGCTGGCTAAATCATTATTAATGCTCCTGGTTTTAAAAAAATTTGGGCTGAGCATAGTGGTGTGTATCTATAATCCCAGTAACTGGAAGAGTCAGACAAGAGGATCACAAGTTCCAGGCCAGCCTCGGCAACTTAGGGAGGCCCTAAGCAATTTAGTGAGATCCTCATCTCAAAATAAAAAAAAAAAAAAAGGCTGGGGATGTGGCTCAGTAGTAAAGCACTTCTAGATTCAATCTCCAGTATCAAAATAGTAACAATAATAATATCTACTTGGGAAGAGACTAAATGTTTTAAAGTCTAGAAATAACTTACACAGAAGATGTGAATAGGTGAAGGTAATTTAATCTAGTCCTTCAGATGTGATGCCCTTCTAAAGTCTACCATCCTGTCATCCTGATTTTTTCGCCCACAGCAATTGCATGAGGATGTGATTCTTGTACCTCCTCTCCTTTGCATTTATATTACCTTGTGTCAGGTACCAATACAAACAACTAAAGAAATGAAAGTACAAGTCTTTTTTTTTTTTTTCTGGGTAAGGTCAGGATATGTAGTTACGTTAACACTAGGACATATTTTACACGATTTTGGGAATAATCATAACCTTTTTTTTTTGGGTGCTTACTCTGAAGATCTGTTTGAAGAGCTTTCCATGAATTAACTCCTATATTACAACTCCTTTGAGATGGCAGTTATTTTCCACGTTTTATTGATGGCAAACTGAGTCAGGAGTTAACTAACTTGCCAAAACCTGGCATTCTGATTCCTTTGTGTTTAACCGCTAAGCTATAGTGCTTTTCACAGATGATGTTTTTAGTACTGTTACTGTTTGCCCAGTCATGCCAAAGAATGGAAATGGCAATATTAGTGAGAAAAGTTTTCTTTTCTCAGTTTATATATATAAGCTACTGAAAATAAAGTTTCTTAGCAATTTGACCTTTATGTCACATTTGAGCCACAAGGAAGGTTGAGCATTCCACAGCAAACTTTTATCTAAAAGATAAAGCAGGTACCTTTGTAACTCAAAAGCAGCAGAATCTCTCTTACCACCTCCAAAGGTCCAGTTACTGATGTTTCTTGACATAATACACTCAATCCAAACAATCGGCAGTTGGAAATACCTATTAGATAATAAAAATCTAGCATCTTTTCTTTTTGCAGTACTGGGATTGAACATCTGCCTATTTTGAGTACTCAGTATGCATGTTGCAGCCACTGTTTTCTGTTTCTTCACTTATAATCTTATGAGGCAGGTATTGCATTGGTAGTAATACCATTTACAGAGGAGGAAATTTGATGCACATAGGAATCAATAATCTGTCCATGGTCACACAGCAAGTTAAATGGAAAGAGTCAGGATTTGAATCCAGGATGTTTACATTCAGATCTCCGGGTTTTTAATCATTCCACTTAACTACTTCTCAAAAAAGGAAAATTTGAGGAAAATCATTGGGAAATTTCCTGCTTTATTAGTCTGGATGCAGTGTTAATTTGGAGATGACTTTAGAAAATTATTTCAATTGCTTTTTGTCTTATAAATGCTTTATGTACTGCCACTTGTGAAAAGGCAATTCCTTTTTATTGAAGTAGATTTTATCTAATTTTGGAATTTTAAGCTTTAGTAAGTAAATGTTCAGTCCATCTGTATCAACATCATATTGCCTTGATCACAGGAATATGAATTAATAGTAAGATTGGTGTAGTTTTTCCAAATATAATTACAAAATTCTAGATTACAGGGTTAGTCTGCTTTATTATTTAAGAATTCCTTATAATTCAACCTGGCTTTTTATAGCTACATTCCAAACATCTTTGGTAGGGTGAAAAGGAGGATTGAGGAAGAGATTGAAATTAATAGATAGGAGACTTTGGAACCACAACCCCAGCCCCTAGATTATCCTTTATTTCTATTCACTTCACAATATGAAAGGCAATATGAAATCCTGAATACAGGATTATGTAGTGAGTTGGATGGTAAATGATATTAAGTGCTGCAGGGATTTAGGGAAGGGCAGATATCCTAGGATCCATAACTTCTAATTATTTGCTTCCAGATATGAGAAAAACAGAGCTATATTCCACAAGGATTTCATGTCATTTCATTTGCAACTACATCTGAGATGAAATGATCCTGTGTTTTTCACTGAAACATGTCAGATATATATATATTTTTCAAAAGTACTAGTATAAGAAATAGATAATTTGCAGAAATATGTAATTCATGGTGCTTTAGTCAACATTTAAATTTTCTGACTTTTAAAAATGACTTTAGGGATGGGGTTGTAGCTCAGTGGTACAGCACTTGCCTAGCACATGTGAAGCCCTGGGTTCGATCCTCAGCACCACATAAAAATAAATAAAATAAAGGTATAGTGTCCATCTACAACTGAAATTTTTCTTAAAAAAAAAAAAAAAAAAAAGGTTCCCTAAAGTTTAGAATTTGATTCTATTTCAAAGCCTTCACAATTAAACTTTTCTTTAGGGAAGTGGAGTCATGAGGTCAAGTGCTCACATGAGAGTGACTGCACCCATAAAACAACCAAACCAGTTTGTGTGTTCATCATGGATTAGTGTTAATCTTTTTAATTAAGATTAAATGAGGGGCTAGGGCTGTAGCTCAGTGGCAGAGTATCTGCCTAGCATGTGTGAGACTGGGCTCTATCCTTAGCGCTGCATAAAGATAAAATAAAGGCATTCTGTCCATATACAAGTAAAAAAAAATTTTTTAAAAAGATCAAATGATTTCCTTCTTGATGGACTTAACAACTTATCTCTAAATTTACTACAATATCTGGGGGCTGGGGATACAGCTCAGTTGGTAGGGTGCTTGCCCCGCACGCACAAAGACCTGGGTTCAATCCTCAGCACTACCACAAAAAGAAAACAAAACAAAACAAAAAAAAAATTACCACAGTATCTCATGACTCATTTTTTTTGCATCAAATATGTGCTATCACCTAATCAATTCTCCAACTTATAAAATTCCCATACAATTTTGGATCATGATTGGAAATCATCATGCATTTAGTATTTGTTTTAGTTTAAGGTAGTGAATAGGTATTAAAATAAGGCTGTATAGGGGCTGGGGTTGTAGCTCAGTGGTAGAGCACATGCCTAACATGTGAGGCATTGGGTTCAATTCTCAGCACCACATATGAATAAAGGAATAAATAAATAAAATAAAGGTCCATTGACAAAAAAAAAATAAGGCTGTACCTTAGAAGTATCTGGGGAAATCAAATCAAAGCACAACTCCTCATATAACAATGCCAGGGTCCCTTACCAACCAATTATATCTGATTTTGGGGGTGGACCCCAGCCAATCCTATTCTTAAAACTTTTCAAATGATTCCATTTGGGTTGAGAACCACTGGATCAGTGTTTCTACGTAGCATTTACTAAACACGCAATGGTCAGTCAGGAGAGATTTGCTTGTCTTTGGAATAATTGTAGCAAAAAAAAATTATTATTATTTTTGGTACTAGGGATTGAACTCAGGGGCACTCGACCACTGAGCCACATCCCTTGCCCTCTTTTGTATTTTATTTGGAGACAGGGTCTCACTTAGTTGTTTAGCATCTCACTGGTACTGAGGCTGGCTTTAAATTCATGATTCTCCTGTCTCAGCCTCCTGAGCTGCTATGATTACAGGTGGGCGCCACCATGCCCCGATGCAGCAAATGTTCTGAAGGAAGTTCACCCCATCTATTTTAATTACAAATCTTTAGAGTTTCTGTATTTTCTAATTTCAAATTCTCTGCAGTTTTCTAAAATATGCTTCTATCAGACTTCTGCCTCCCATTACCAAACTGTTCTCAAGAGGTCACCAGTCACTTATACTAACTCCACCGTCAAGTCTTGGTTCTCAAATCATCTATCAGCAGTTCTTGGATACTGTGTCCTTGAGATACCTTCTTCAGTTGGTTTCTGAACCAGTAGAGCTTTAGTGATAATGGATATTCTTTGTGCTATTCAAATCAGTAGCTGCTAGCTAGATGAAGGAAGCTAATATGACCGAGGAACTGAATTTTAAACTTTATTTAAATAGTCATACGTGGCAAGTATTAAATGGTTCAGTTCTAGCCGCTTTTGAATTCTTCCTTATACCTGCTTCTGACTTCTTGGCTGCTTCCTTCTAAACGTTGGTGTATCCCAGTTCTCTTTTTTATACTTACTCCTTTGGTCATTTTATTTAACCTATCTTTCCCTAACCTTCTCTAGGTTGACTTATACTTCCTCTTTGACAAATATTTGGATGGAAAATGTGTTTTATTTGGGTGTGAAGGGGTTGCTTTTTATGTGAAATTGTATTCTTTCCCCTGAATTTACATGACAGAGCATTAAACTGTTAATGTGGCTGATCTGTGCTTATTAAGTTCAAAGCATGAGTTTTTAAGTTAAAAGTTATTAGCCAGGTGTGGTGTCACAGGTGTTTTCCTGTGTAATCCCAGGGACTTGGAAGGCTGAATCAGGAGTATTACAAGTTGGAGGCCAGCCTGGGAAACTTAGCAAGACCCTGTCCCAAAATAAAAGAGCTTGGGGTAAGGACTTCGGAGATCAAACCCCAGTATTGAAAAAAAAAAAAAAAAAAAAAAAGTCCTAAAAATTTTTTTTAAATATGTATAGGAAAAAAAAAAATATATATTTTAGCAGAGAACAGAAAGGCATAAAAGGAAAACTATACCTCTCTCCCTTAACTCATATATTCTCTTCCCAGTGGCAGTTGGATTATATCTTTTGTTTAAAATATTTAGCCATAACCCCAGCCTGGATTATATCTTTTCAGATATTATAAGCATGTCAATCTTACATTTTCCAGTAGTTTAGCATTCTACAGATTTCTGTTTCTTACTAGTTTTCATTTAACAGAGATTGATCCTTAATGGCATATAGGTCTACTCATATCTTGATCTTTTTAATGACTGCACAGTATGGTTGTACTATCATTACTTTTATTTAACTAGTCTTCTGCTGATGAACAATGTCAACTTGACTTTCAAAGTGCTTATACCAATCTACACTCTCCCCACTTTTTCATTCTTAGTTCTTTTTTGGTGGTTTTTGAGACAGGGTCTCGCTAAGTCCTTAGGGCCTCCCTAAATTGCTGAGGTTGGTCTTGAATTTGAGATCTGCCTGCCTCAGTCTCCTAGTCACTGGGATTACAGATATGTCCCCACACCCTTTCTAGCTCAACATTGCATCAGAAGAATTTAGCTTTCAGTCTTAGAAGTAAAAAATGGTATTATATTGTAGTTTTAATTTTCATTTCTTTGAAATGACATTTTTTCACTTAAAATCTATGTGGATTTCTTTTCCTGTGTCCATTTCCTTTGCCTATTTCTGCTGTGTTTTCCTGACAGGTACATAAGAGATATACTTTACCCCTCTTTATATTCTCACCTTATTAAAAGAATGTTTAGGAGGAATTTTATTATTTACTTCTATGGTTTCTGGATTTTTAAAATCTTAGGAAATTTTTCCTGATTCTAAAACTATAAAAGCTATTATTCTATTATTATTTTTTATGGACTTTTTTATACAAAAAAATCGATCCTCCTGTCTCACAGCCTCCCCACTTACTGGCCTGAAACTTCTTATGTTCTAAGGAGTGAGGGGAAAAAACCCCAATTTCTTCACAAAAATTAACCAATTTGTTTCTTTTCTCATTTGTTAAAATAAAACCGAGTTTTTGCCAGGTACAGTGGCCATGCCTATAAATCCTTGGGACTCAATGGTAGAGCACCCCCGGATTCAATCCCCAGCACTGTCAAAAAAAAAAAAAAAAAAAAAAAGTTTTATTATAAACATCCCCCAATTTCTCCAATAGAGAATTTTTACATCCTACTCTAATATTTAAATATCCAAGAAAAAATTACCATATAATGATCATACTGCAATTAATTTCCCAAAACACTTTATCTGCAAGTATCACCAAGTCCTGATACAAAAAAAGGTCAGGTTTTCAAGATGTCTTTTATAAACCTTATTGCAATGTATTATATTTAAGGAATAATAAAGATCAATAGAATAAGAGCGAGCAATGAAAGGGGAGGAGGAGAATGAAGCTTACTAAATTATGTTACGTGCAATGTATCTTTTTTTTTGGGGGGGGGGGGGGGCTGGGGACGGAGCCCAGGGGTGTTTAACCACTGAGTCACATCCCTAGCTCTTTTATTTTACTTTGTGACAGGGTCTCGGTAAGTTGTTTAGGGCCTTGCAAAGTTGTTGAGACTAGCTTTGAACTTGTGACCCTCCAGCCTCAGCCTCCCAAGCCGCTGGGATTGTGGTGTGTGCCACCACACCCAGCTAATGGGCCCATTTAAAAAAATAAATAGAAGGAAGACCAATAGAGGAAGAGGACTGGGGGAGAAGAGGGAAGGTAAACAGGAAGAACTGCGGATTAAAACAGAGCTATGTTATATGCATTTATGAACATCAGAATGAACACCACTATTATGTATGACTATAATGCACTAATTTAAAAAAATAGTGATAAAAAAGAAATGACATTCTATACTTACATAGATTGAACAATTCCACTGACAAATAGTTATGTCTTTAATAGGCTAAATAGGGACTAGATAAAAGTACTATATAACAAACAGAATCACACCTCTAAATGAAAACAAACTATATTTCCTTTTCAAGTACAGGCCCTTAGCTGGGTGTGGTGGTGCACAGCTGTAATCTGAGCAGTTCAAGGCCAGCCTGGGTAACTAAGCAAAAACCCTGTCTCAAAATAAAAAATAAAAAGGCCCCTGAGAGAGGAGGCACTGGATTCAATACCCAGTATGGATAGATAAATAATAGTCCTTCCCAAGGAAAAGTAAAAAACGATCCTCTGGAGGAAATTAAACTAAAAACTGAAACCTGATGGATGAGAAAAGCAAAACAAAGTCATAGCCCAGGAGGGAGGGGATGCATTAATTTACTTCCATACTTTTTCCCCCCAAATAAATTTTTCTTCCTAGGTAATTAAAAAAAAAGGGGGGGGGTATACTTAATGTTGTAATGCTATCTATAGCCAAGCAACCACAACCTATTATAAAAGAATGAAGGTTCCTGGCTACAGAATTCTATTCCTTAAAATAAATATTGCTTAAGCCTTGCTTTTAGAAAAGACCTTTTGCAAACACTCGATATTTAGAAAATTATCTACGTATAGTGTCAAGTATATTTAGGAAGGACGATTTTCTTGTACAAAAGTAAAATTGGAGTTGTTCTGCTTGCCCCTGGTTAATGTTTGTACCATTAGAAGGCGATAGATTAGAAAATTAGACAGGGCATTTCCTCTACACTAGTCCTTTAAACATCCTTTTGGTCAAACACATGGCTCACTTATGAAGAAAAAAGTATTAGAATTAGAATCAGTATACAACTAATTAAAAGATCAAAACTATAACCAAGAACTTTAAAACACTGGACCACAGTACAAATGCTGTTTTGAAGTTTCTTCATAAACACTAAATGAAGGAGGAAACAAAAAATTCAGCTATCAGTTTAACCATATAATATCAACTATATGTTTTTTCTTTAAGGACCATAAATGGTAGTATTAAGATGTAGTATTATAATAAATCAGTTGAATATTAGAAATATTATCATAAATTAAACAAATAAGATAATTTCTGACCATTTATAACCTTTTCTAGTGGCACTGTTTTGATTACATTAAGAGTACTTAGTGGAAGGCTAATGTTCCAAGTAAAATATTTTAAGGATATGAAGTGCATAAAAATTGAGTGTTTTTAATAGCATGTACTGTTAGGCTATAGCTTTCAGAATATGCAACTGGGAAAGTACAATGATAATATCATTTAAATTAACTGATAATAAAAGTGATTCATGAAATATGATTAATAATTTAATATTTTATCATCTTAAAACAAAAATCTAACCAAATGCAACCCAGCTCTGCCATTGGTTAGCTCTGTAAACAGAGGCAAATAACTATTTTGAGAGTTCAGTTTACCTCTAAAATAAGTCATATTATTTGTAAGGTTATTTCCAATTCTAAAATTCTATGACTACTACTTGATTTCTTTGCATTTTAGCTATCTAAAGTAATCAGGAAAGATGGACGGTAAATTAAAAATGCTTTTATTCCACTGATAAGCATAAACACACACACACACACATATATTTTAGGAATATATATATTTTAAAGTTTCAACATTTCTTTGTTAAGTAAAGCCAAAGTATGGCTACAAGTGGAGAGGAAATAGCTAAGTTACAGTCAACAAAACTGGTTTACTTAGGTCTTATATTTGTACTTGTACATATACCATATTATAGCACAAAAACATCCCCCATCTTGTGTCTCGAGCTTCCAGATAAGTCAGAAGATTAATTCACCCTGAGTGGGATCATCTCTGGCTGTCTATATAAGGGCTATATAGATGGAGAATTCTACATTTCCTTAGTACTACGCTCCATGTCCTTCTTTCAAAGGTGTAGACATCACACAATTTAAACTCAATGGCTATTTTAAGAACAAAACAATGTTGAAAAATTCAGTTGCCATGTTGGAGGAATTTATACATTCTTAAGTATTCTATTTCTTTTCTATGGCTTGGAATTTCTCACCCAAGAAAACAGACTTCATTCATAAACATTTATTATATCTTTCTCTGCTAGAAACAGAAGCAAGTTTTCTCTCTGACAAACTTGTCACAGGGGAACAAATTAAATGCTTTCCCAAAATGGAGCATAAGTCTTCCTTAATATCAGTGTATCATAACTGATGTAGCAGCAGTCTTTAAAATTTCATAAGTTATAGCTAAGAAGGCAGTTTTGGCCGTTTTGCAGATGGTCCATCTGAGTTAGTTCTTTTATCAATGTTATTTTCATCTTCTGCATCATCTTCACCATCACCTTTTAAAATAAATATTTGTTGTATGACATGTTCAGTGGGTTGAAAGAAATATAGAAGTTAAATGGTCAAAATGAGACCATTTCACTTTAGGGATTATTAAAACCACACTTATTTTAGATTTTTAAAAAGACTTCAGGGGAATTTAATATTTAAAACCTCTCTTTTGGGGCTGGGGATGTGGCTCAAGCGGTAGTGCGCTGGCTTGGCATGCGTGTGGCCCGAGTTCTATCCTCAGCACCACATACAAAGATGTTGGGTCTGCCGAAAACTAAAAAAAAAAATTAAATGTTAAAAATTCTCTCTCTCTAAAAAAAACCAAAAAACAAAAAACCTCTCTTTTGGATCACTTTCTTTTTTGGAGATATAATTTCTTTAACATAAAAATTCACTGTTTCTTTTTGGTACTGGAGATTGAACCCAGGGCACTTATCCACTGAGCCACATCCCCAGCCCTTTTTGTATTTTTCAATTTAGAATCAGGGTCTCACTGAGTTTAGGGCCTTGCTAAATTGCTGAGGCTGGCTTTGAACTCCTGCCTCAGCCTCCGGAGCCACTGGTATTACAGGTCTGAACTACCACGCCCAGCTGGCTCTTTTTTAAAGTGTATGATTCTGGGGTTTCCAGTACATTCACTTGAAATTAACATCGCTAATTCTGGAATACTGCCATCATCCCCAAAAGGAACTCTATATTCATTAGCAGTCACTTTTCATTCCACTCAACCCATGCAACTACTAATCCACCTTCTCTATGGATTTTCCTACTCTGGACATTTCCTATAAATGGAATCATACAATATGTGGCCTTTTGTGTCTGATTTTGATTTATTGTCTTCAAGATTCATTCCTGTTGTAGCATGTATCAATACTACTTTTTTTTAAAAAAAAAATGCCAAATAACCACATTTTGCTTCTGCACTAATGGATTCAGGGACATCTGTGTTGTTTTCATTTTTTAGCTACTATAAATAATGCTGCTAAGATTCTGAGTGAGTTTTTGTTTAAACACGTTTCCAGCTCTCTTGGGAGGACTAACAGTGACACACTACTGGTTCACATGTTAACTTTTTAGTTTTTGAGGAACTGCCAAACTGTTGTAGGTGGAAACATCATTTTATAGTTCCACGAACAATGTACAAGTTGTTCACATCCTAGACACTTTTTATTGCTCTTTTTAACAGCCAGCATCCACATCATCAAGATGGAAACAAAATGGAAAGGAAAAGTACAGTTCAATTTCTTCTATGAGAAGAGTAAATATCTAGTTCTTAGGTATTTTGTTTGTCTTTAATAACTCAGGACAGTCAAAAATGGAATGATCTTTTTTTTTGTATTCTCATTTAAGATTTCTTTCTTTTAAATGGACACAGTTAAAAGTTCATGGTTCTGCTTTCAAAATATCACCTATGAAACTGGTATATAGGAAAGGAGTTTCTGAGGTTGAAGACTGGTTAAAATGAAATCGGCCCCACTCGTCGGAACCTGCTCCTACTGTAATAAATTGCACTCTTTCAGACACGTCTGTAATTTCACACCTGGCAAACTCCATTGTCGTTTCCAACACCCAGCTCATAAGTCGTGGCCACTCTAGGGACGCCTTGCTTGGATCTCTCGGCTTGCAGGAGTTAGAGGGTCCCAGAGTCACAATTTTTCACTCGTTCACGACCGTGTCAGCCTGCCTCATCCCCCTGATTCCCAAGGGCAGGAACTGAGTCGTATTCACCTCATTCTTTCCGGACCTCAGCCCAGACCCACCCTGCTGGGCACAGAGCAGTGGGCGTTCAGCACGGTTTTTGCGCTATAAATGAACAGTCGGGAAAACGCTGGGGCAGAAAAGGCTTGGACACACTGGGCTGCGAGTGCCCACACTTTCAGAAGCAACTTCCCGCCCGCCCAGACTCACTTTCCACAACTCCGCCACTCACAGGGCGGCCCCAGCCGACGTTCCCGGGTCCCCGCCCCGCCCTCCTGTGGCTCCAGCACCTTCTCAGAGCTCACCGTCCAACGTATCGTCTGGGGCCACGCGGCCCTGCGCTTCCTGCTGTACCAAGGGACCAAAGAAGTCGGATACCAGCTCCTTCATCTGGGTCACACCCGACAACAGGTTCTGAAGAGAGTCGGCGTCTCCGGTCCCGTCACAGAGTACCCGCAGTCGCTGCTGCTCGCCGTCGGGGCCAACGTACTCTCCCGAAAGCTCCATGGCGACCGCTGAGGTTTAAGAACGCGCCACAGAAAAGCGCCGCCCGGAAGCGGAAACCAGCCCGCGGCCCCGCGCGGGCGGGAGCCGCTAGAGGAGTGACTTCCGTTTGTTGGAAACTGCTCCTCCCACTTCCTTCGCCTTCCTTCTTTGGGATTGGTTCCTGACACTCAGGCCCCGCCTCCTCCGCTACGCCCCTCGCGGCCGCTTTTCCCGCCTCCGCCAGGGCCGAGCTGGGACCCCGGGTGACAGTTGAGGATGGCTGGTGCTGAGGGGAACGCTGGACGGCAGTCGGAGCTGGAGCCTGTGGTGTCGCTGGTCGACGTACTTGAGGAGGACGAGGAGCTGGAGAACGAGGCGTGCGCCGTCCTGGGCGGCAGCGACTCCGAGAAGTGCTCCTACTCTCAGGTGGGCTCTCAGCCCGGGCCCCGTCTTCACCCGCGGCTCCCGCTGAACCTTCTCTCTCCGGCGGCGTTTTCTCTCCCCCCCCCTTGCCGCGGTCGACCCCTCTGCGCTGGTCCGGGCCGCCATTCGTCTTGAGCTTCACAGCCCAGGCTGCCCTTCTATCCTCAGCCTTCCCTGGGCCCCTTTCCTCAGCAGGGCCTTCCAACTTCTGTCTTCCCCATCCGGCTTCGGCGCTCGAGCGGCTGCTCTGTCCTTCCTCTCCAGTCCCTCCTTGCTGGCCTTGGTGCTCTTCACGAAACCGTACGCACGACCTCTCAAATCCACACATCTTTCTCCTACTTTTCCCATCCGTAGAGTGTTGGCTTATTAGGGGTCGAAGGGGAGGATCAAAGTAGAGAGAGCGAATCCTGCATTTGAAAATCTCCCTGTGTGGGATACGCTCATTGACGGCACTGCAATAGTTTAAGAGCTTACTAGTACTTTCTTTTCTTTCTTCCTTTCCTTTTTTTCTTTTTTCGAGAAACAAAGCAAGCACCCTATTCCCTGTCTGCAGTCTCACTTTCCTCCCACTGGAAATAGACCAGAACCAGAAGAGCAGGTGGCCCTAACAAGGGAGGGGAGGGGAGGAGAGAAACGTTTGGAAGATGTTGTGTACAAGAGTTTGAGGGGGTGTGATGTAGTGTTTTATGACTCATCCTTATTTTTAGGTACAAAAAACGAAGAAGGGTGAGTAGGAAGAAAACGAGCAAGGATTAAAAATTGGTAGGAGAAGGATTATTTAGGCCTGAGTTTAGAGGAACATGGGGGAATGAGGGGAGAGACTTGCAGTTATTTTGTAATATAGACTGAAGTCATAATTTGACAGTTGTCATCATTGGCCAGGTTGAGTTTACACTGTAAATGGCTAGATTGTTGAATACACCTGGTATGCAGAGATAGTCCCAGATGTTGGCTGGTATATAAAATCTTTGGCCACTAATAAAACAACGTTTTCCTTGATTAAAAAAAAAAGGTCCACAATCTATATATAAGCTATTTTTGAAATGTAGTCAGTTTTATCAAATGGACATCCGTAAAATTTTCGTATTGTAGTTAAACATGGATATTTGCATGAATCATATGTATAGGTTTTGAAAAAAGTCAACACATGCATGTACCCACCCACCACCCAGAGCAAGAAATAGAATATTACTGGCATCCCAGAGCCCCCTTGTATGTATCCCTTCTTCTTAGAGGAGGGTAACCCTTAGCAAGATTTCCAAAGTTTTGCTGTTTTTCCTTCAGTTTTTTGTTTTGGAACATTTTTAAGTTATAGATAAGATAAAAGAATAGTACTATGAACACCTGCATGCCTTTTACATGTATTCACTTTTTAACATTTTATCATGTTTATCTTTCTCCTTTATATATATAATATGCTTTTTTTGAGTCACTTGAAAATCAGCTGCACGTGTCGTGACACTGCACTTCTAAATACTTCAGCATGCATCAAAGGGGGGATTCTGCTGAGAGCCACGGCCGAGTCTATATGGATTCTTTTCTCTTTGATGGAATTTCACACATTTCCCCAAAATTAAAGTGTGATATTGCATACATAGACCTGCACACCTTTACCTGCATCTTCATATGTTAAACTGATTAAGCAGACCAATTTATTCACAGCTGATTGGCAAATTTCAGCTTCTTATCTCTTGAAGATAAAACTGTATGAAAACAAAATTAGCATATATATATATATATATATATATATATATATGAAATGCAGCAGCATTTTGGTACCCTGTTTTATAAAAATTTTAAGTAGTCTCAGTGTTTTTTACAGGAAGATCTTGACCACAAACATTCCGATTTTAATTATTTCTGAGATCTTAGTATTAATGAACTGTGCTGTTTCATTAACTTATTCTCTTCTGTTTTGGGCTGTCTTTTAGGGCTCAGTAAAGAGACAGGCACTCTATGCCTGTAGTACCTGTACCCCAGAGGGAGAAGAACCAGCAGGAATTTGTCTAGCTTGCAGTTATGAATGTCATGGTAGTCATAAACTATTTGAGCTGTACACAAAAAGGTAAACAGAATGCTGAAAGTTTTCTGAGTATTTAGATTATTTACCAGATACAGTTTTTCTTAACTTTGCTTTTTCATTCAAAGTAATTCTTCACTGTTGAAATTTAATGTAATTGTTTTACATAAGTGGAAGAGAATGGTTTTTCTATAGGACCTTTAAAATATAATTATGGTACGAAATCAAATTACTCATCCTTTTCTGACATTATTTTTGTGTGTGTGTGTGTGTGTGCGCGCGTGCGTGCACACCCCACATAAATATTTGTCTTTTTCATTTTGTTTTGAGATGAGATATTGCTGTATTTTCAGGGATGGTCCCAAACTCCTTGGCTCTGTCAGTCCTGCCTCAGCCTTCCTAGTAACTGGGACTACACCCAGTTGTCTTTATAATAGTAATTTTAGAATTATAAAACCTTTTATTGTTATATGCTTGGGGAAGTTCCAAATCAGATACATGTTCAGCAATCAAGTCATTTTTTAGATCCTAGAAATGAGTTTAAAGGGTTAAAATGAGTCAAAAGGCTACAATTCAAGTTTAAGGAATACTTCCTTAGTCTTAAAAGAAAAATAAAATTTGCTTTTCCTTCTTTTTTCCAGAAATTTTCGTTGCGATTGTGGAAACAGCAAGTTTAAAAATTTGGAATGCAAATTATTTCCTGTAAGTAAGCAACCTAACTACATACAAATGCATTTAAAGGAACTGAGGTCAATATTTACCAGAGTGGGTAAAAACCAAATGTGTATTTCATTTCTTACTTTGTTAGAAAAAATTGCCTGTTCAGAGACTATAATATAGACTACAATTGATATAACATTCTGTAGGGAAATTTTGTGTGTGTGTGTGTGTGTGTGTGTGTGGTGTTGGAAATTGAACCCAAGGCCTTGTTCATGCAAAGCAAGCACTCTACCAACTGAGCTATATCCCTAGCCTTAGGGAAATTTTTTGTATAGTGACTCAGGTTTATTTATTTTCCACATTTTTTTATTGGTGCATTATAGTTGTACATATTGGTGGGATTTATTGTTACATATTTGGACATGCACACAATATAACAATATAATATGGACAATATCATTGCCCTGCATTTCTCCCCTCCTTCCCTGTCTTCCACCCTTTGGTCCCTTTTTGTTTTTGATCTCCCTTTGATTTTTAGGAAATCCACCCCCACCTTTTGTTTTCCCTCTAGCTTATACATGTGAAAGAAAACATACCCCTTTAACCTGAGTTTGACTTACATGTTTAACATGGTGGTCTCTAGTTCCATCCATTTTCCTGCAAATGACATAATTTCATTTTTATTTATGGCTGAGTAAAACTCCATTGTGTATGTGTACCACAGTTTCTTTATCTATTCATCCATTGGTGGTCACCTAGTCTGGTTTCATAGTTTGGCCGTTGTGAATTGTGCTGTATCGTATGTGTATATCACTGTAGTAAGATGGCTTCAATTCTTCAGAGTAAATACTGAGAAGTGAGCCAGTTGAGGTAGTGCATGCCTGTAATCCTGGTGGTTTGGGAGGCTGAAGCAGGAGGATTGCAAGTTCAGAGGCAGCCTTGGCAAAAAAGAGAGGCACTAAGCAACTCAGCAATACCCTATCTCTAAATAAAATAAAAAATAGGGTTAAGGATGTGGCTCACTGGTTGAGTGCCCTGAGTTTAATCCCCAGTACCAAAAATACTGACACATGGTATAGCTGGGTCATGTGGTCATTCCATGCCTACTCTTTTGAGGCATCCTCATACTGATTTGCATATTGGTTGTACTAATTTATAATTCCATCAATGGTGTAAAAGTGTTCCTTTTCTTCTACATCCTCTCCAGCATTTATTATTATTGCATTTATTATTCTTGATGACTGCCATTTTGACTGGTATGGGATGAAATCTCAATGTAGTTTTGATTTGCATTTCCCTAATTGCTAATAATGTTGAACATTTTTTCATATATTGTTAGCTATTTGTATTTCTTTTTCTTTTGCTTTTTTTTTTTTGAGAAGTGTCTGTTTATTTGACAATTTATTAATTGGGTTATTTGATTTTTTTTTATGTAAAGTTTCTTTAGCTCTTTATATATTCTAGATATTAATCCTCTGTCAGAAGAGTAGCTGGCAAAGATTTTTTTCCTGTGAGTTTTCACATTTCTGATTATCTCCTTCGCTGTACCAGAAGCTTTTTAATTTAATGCTGTCCCATTTATTAACTCTTGGCCTTATTTCCAGAGCTTTAGAGGGGTCCTTTTGAGAAAGTCATTGCCTGTGACTAAAAGCTGGAGTGTTGACCCTATGTTTTCTTCTAGGAGTTGCATAGTTTCTGGTCTAATTCCTAGGTCTTTCATCCATTTTGAGTTGATTTTTATGCAGGTTAAGACATAAGTGTCTATTTTTCATTCTTCTACATATGGATAATCAGTTTTCCCAGCCTCAATTGTTTAAAAGGCTGTCTTTTCTCCATTGTGTGTTTTTGGCACCTTTGTCAAGGATCAGATGAGGGTAGATGTGTGGGTTTGCCCTGTGTATTCTCTTCTGTACCATTGGCTGTGTGTCTGTTTCTATGCTATTGTTGTTGCT